CCCACCAGGGGGCGGGGCTGGTTGGCATGTGGTGCTGGGGGATTGAACCGCGGTCCCTATGCTTTGCCAAGCTTGTTCTAAGTAGGTGCTTTAGACCACTGAGCCATCTCACCAGCCCCCCAAAAACCTCAGTTCTGTCATATTATTTTGTAAACTAATTTAAAAGGAATCTAGCTAGTTCATTTAACCTTCCCTCTCTGCTCACCTCTGAAATGGGTTTTTTTCCTCACTACTTTCATATGTAGAGGCTTCTATGTCCGGGTACCGCGTGTCACCTTTGGAATGAACTGCCGCTCTCTCAGCAGTCCAAGAATTGCAAGAAGAGCTACATCTGCTGTGCTGAGCTCCTCCCTGGTCTTCCCTCACTGCAGCCTGGGGTTACACAGATGGTGCTGCAGAGGAGAGGACCCTCTCAGTAATGATCCCTCGTAGTATTTAGTGCACACACTCAGGCTTTCATGTGACTGTCACCGAGGCTGTCGCTGTTCTTCGCTTTTGAGTTAGCACACCATTCTGGTTCCCTGCTGCTGCTCGTCTGTGCTCTGTGTCATCTCATGACCCTGTTGCCGCCATCATCAATCCAGCCAGGGCTGTAGCTGGCCCTCTGCCCTTGGCCTGTGTCTGCGCTCAGGTGGATGTGCTACACTGACGACGCTCAAGTGTTTTTCTGGGTTTGTAGCTCAGGAGATTTGTGGTGGGTTTTCTTGTTGTAATGTTTTGTCTTTTGGTACTAGGAATCGAACTTGGGACCTTGTGCTTGCCAAGCAAGTGCTTGTGCCACTGAGCTATTTCCCCCACCCTGTTGTGTGTTTTGACCGGAAGGCTCAAGGAATTCCTGTCACCTTTAGATTTTTTACCTAGCCTAGTGGCCTTCTAGTTTTCTTGTTTGTTTCATTGTCATTGTCATCATTTACATCTTGAACTTGCCTGTGATACATGCTTTTTCTTACTCCCTTCAATCTGGCAGTTTTCCTAACTAGATTCTCCTTCCTTGAATCTGTCCTGCATGTGGCTGCCAGGATAATTTTCCAGAAGCTTTTGAACCCCTTGCCGCCAAACCTACAGCTGGAGGAGAGAGCTTGTGCTGTTGACTTTTGCACTTGCCACTGTGAACTGGACCTGGGCTGAATGAAGTTTGAGTGGATCTTCATTTGCTCAAAACTTTGAATTCTCCCAATAGAGTGCAGGATCAAGTCCGAATCCTACTTTGTGGCTTGCCAGCCTTTTTGTGTCACACTCTGCTTCTTCCACCTTACTCCTGCTTCTTGACACTAATGTGTTGGTGCTTCCTCTGTGCTCTACCACCCTCCCTCCAACTCCTGTGCGGCTCCTTTCCTTTTCCTTGCTGCCGAAGCCCATCCAGGACTGTTTGCCCTGTGCCAGGCACTGTTAGATCATTGAACACATCAAGACAAAATCCCTGTTTTCGAGGGCAACCTGCCCAGTTCACCTTTCTGTTCCTCTGTTGGACAGGAGCTTTCTTTCTCCCCAGTAAATATATTCTGCTCTAATACCAATCAATCCCTGTTTTCTCAGCAATAACATTTGGGGGAAGACACAGTAAACAGAAGTATTCCAGGTAGTCCTGAGCATCCTCAAGAGGAGCAAAACTAGATAGAAGGCCTGGTTGGTGGGGCGTGGCTGCCAAATGTTTGTGCGGGGCAGGCTGCTCTCAGGTGCCCTGAGGGGGTACCATACGCTTCCCTATATGAGGAAGGGGCTTTTCTAGGCAGAGGGGATCTGGTAGAGCCTACGGTGGGTCCTTGTTCCGCTTCTTAGAAGAACTGCTAAAATTAATGTGGCCACAGTAGAATGACCTCGAGGGAAGGGTGCATGGCTACGAGAGGTGGTGGCAGCTTCACATGAGAAGTGTCACCCTGAGGCCACCTTGACTACTTCACTTTGTTAATTTAAACCTTTGAATCCAAATAGCAACTGCAGAAGAAGCTTTCTTTTCTCTGCACAGGGAGTGAACCTAGGGCCCTGTGCATGCTATGCAGATACTCTGCTGGTGAGTTCCCAGCCCCAAATTATTGTGGTTGTAACCCATGGCAGTGTGTTACATAGCGATCAGGAGTATGTTACTGTGTATGTGTGACTGCCTTTGATGCATTCATACGTAAATGTTGGTCTTAACCCACTAAAAGAATTTCACAGTCCACTCTTGGGTCAAAGCGCAAGTGTATATCCACTTAAAGAACCACTGAACTATAGATAGCCTTTGTTGTAAATACAGTCTTTTCATTATTGATAATCTATTTGAAACATTATTAGGGCCAGCCAAATAACTCAGCGGGCTAAAGCCTGCGAGCAGGTGCAGGGGCAGAGGGTTGGACCCTCAGTTCTGCCATGCTGGCCCTGCCCCAGGGCGTGCAGAGATGGCAATTGAGACTGGGCGTGGTGGCACAGATTGTAATCCCAGCACTTGGGGGGCTGTAAAAAGAATCACTGAGTACGATCTAGTAATGAGACCCTGAAACTCTTCTCTAAAAAGACAGGAAAAAAATTATTAGACAGTAATTGTACCTTCATTTGTGGCGCAGCATGTGTCAGCCCTTGTATGCAATTTGTAATGCTTAGATCAGGGTAATTGGCATGACTCGCACCTTTAGCAGTTCACTACTTTGTACAGTTCTGGTTGCAGACAAAGTTGGTTGAAAACCAAATCAAATTCACAGGTCAGGTTCATTGTCAACCGTATAGGGAAATTTAATTTGGTTCGTGCTGTTTTCATTGTGACCACAATCATGAAAAGAATCAAGTTTGTGAAATGAGGTACCAGTGTATTTGGAAATATTTAATTAATTGTTGTCAACTGCGGTCACCGAGCTGTGTGATAGAACATCAGGAGCTATTCCTGCTATCTAGGCACCCCATCCCCTCCAGCCATCACCTCTCTGCCCTGCCTTCCTCACCCCTCTTAGGTCCTGGAAGCTACTCTTTGAGTCTGTGCTTCTTTGAGGTCATGCTTAGCTTCTTTTGTTGTTGTCCCATGCCTACTTGGGACAGTGCGTGGTGTCTGTCCTCCTGGGCTGGAGGCTTTCACTTGGTGTGACGTGCTCCAGCCTCCCACGCTGCTCCAACGAAGAGCATTTCATGCTTCTTGAGTGAACATCACTCTGCACATCACTGGGTTTTCCCGGCCCGTTGGCCCGGAGATGTCGTCTGGGTTCATCTCGTCTGGGTTAATCGGACTCTTGACTGTTGCATGCAGTGTGAGTACAGCTGTCTCTGGTGTGCTGATTTCATTCATTCCTTTTGGCTGTGTGCTGTGCGGCAGTGTGACTGCTGGATCCTGTGATATTTTGGTTTTTGGTTTTTAGGGTGTTTTTTTTTTTTTTTTGTGCATGTGCAGGGTCTCACTACACAGTTCAGACTTGTGGTGATCCTCGTGGTCAGCATCTGTTGGTTTTTTTGTTGTTGTTGTTGTTCCTCGAATGCCTTCAGGGCACTTTTGGCCAGCTGGAGAGGTGTGAGGTTCGAACTCCAGCAACCTGAGGCTGACAGCTTTGTGGAAGCAGCCACTTAAAGGCCTGAGCTTGGGCCAGGCCCCCAGCATGTTTTTGTTGTTGTTGTTGTTGTTTTTTTTTTGTCTTTTTGATAACCATTCTTGCTGGGTTGAGGCAATATCTCATTGTGGTTTTGCTGTGCATTTTCTTTTTTCTTTCTTTTTTTTTTTTTCCTTTGGAACTGGGGATTGAACTCTGGCCCTTGTGCTTGCCAGGGAAGTGCTTATTCTACTGAGCCATCTCCGAGGCCCACATTTTCTTGATTGTTAGTGATATTGAACTTTTCCATATACTTCTTGGTCATTTGTTTATTGTCTGTTGAGAAATACCTGTTTAGGTAATTTGCCCATTTTAAAAATAAGATAATGAACTTTTTTTCATGTAAAATTAAAAAATATACATACACATACACACATGTGTATTTAGTACAGGGCTTCACTACACAGATTGGACTTGTAGTGTTCCTATCCTTCCAGTTTTTGGCCTCCCGTGCTCTGGGATTACAGGTGCACGCCACCACATCCAGTCTCTGTAACTATTTTTGCGTGGCATGTCAGGGATTGAACTTTTAAATACATTTTTTAAAAATTTGAGGGGCCCGGCAGATGGCTTAGTGGAAGCAGGGGCCTGAGCTCAATCCCTGGTTCTGGAAAAAAAAAAAAAAAGTGACTATTTATTTTTTAAGCTTGAAGCATTTGTTTTAGAAACATATATACCAAAGCTTATAGTGTTTGTAGTAATATGGAAAGAGTGGGCTTGGGGCCCATGAGATATAGTCTAAAGCACTTGCTTAGGGATGCAAGTCGATCCACGAGTTCCATATACCTGGCCAGCCCTGGCCCCAGGGCAGGCTGAGCTGGCCACGAGGGGGGGGGGAAGGTGGGCTTGTTTACTTTAATAAATGTTTGTGGGGTTGGATCCTGGAAGCGTCTGGATGCTAAAATACACAGGAGAATACGCTAAATTCTGCCTAACTCCTGAGGCATATATATGGGAGAGGAGAGCTTGTAGTATTACAAATACCAGCTGTGTTACAAGTATTATAAGTCATCATAACATGATGGAATCTCTAATGGTGGAAGTATGGTTAGGGTACAGTGAGATTAGAGAGCTGATTAAGTTTGGGAGTGATAAAGGGAAATTTGGAGAAGATAATGTCTGAACTGGGCTTTGGAAGGAGAAGAGTAATGTTTGGTCATATAAACTGGAGTAAAGAATTCTCAGGCAATCAACATAGAAAAGAATGGTATTATGAGGTAAACAACACTTAATGGTGTTAGCGTAAAGCCAAGGGGAAACGGGGAGGCAGTGAGCTGCAGAGAGGCGCTCGGAGTCTTGCAGGTCTGTGGTACGTTGGAGTTACTGCTTTTAGTAACAGTTGTGCATGTTTGGTGAAAATCATGCATATTCAGAATTACTTGTCGGAAGTTGGCCACGTGGAAAATAAAGGTACCATCTTGACGCAAGTCCAAAATAATCAGTTTTTTTCTGATAATGAGTTACATTACGGTTCTCAGGTATACCCTAGGTGGCCAATAGTTATGCATTGTTTTGTATCAAACAAAAGTTTTAAACAGTCTACTCACCCACTCTATGGAGAAGCATTTGAGAACCCAGACCAGCTGAAGAAATGGGAGATTCCCCTTTCTGGTTATTTCTTGGACATACATTTATGTATATAGAATGGTGAGTGGCCAGTTATTTATTTATGTATATAGAATTTATGTATATAGAATGGTGAGTGGCCAGTTATTTATTCTTTACTTAGCATTAAATACACATATGATTCATTATAATGGCAATTGGAACACATGATTTTATCCTTATTTTAGAGAGATGTTTAAGCTGTATTAGATTGCTTGGAATGTACAAATTTTAAGAGAGTGGAAGGAATATTTGCAACATGTGATAAGCCAGAAATATACACAGTGCACTCTTAGATAGAGACAGTGAAATGGGAAAGGAGGTAAAGGATATGACCAGGAGGTTTCAAAAGAGGAAAGCAGTCTAACTAGTAATTTGAAAGCTGGATTAAAGCGAAGAGTAAACATTTTTAGGGCCAGGGAGATAGCTTAGCGGCATAAATGCCTGCCTGACAAACATAAGGTCTTGAGTTCAGTTCGGGGTACCAAAAAAAAAAAAAAAAAAAAATCTGCCCAGTGTAGAAAAGTAAAAAGCTTGGTAACACTTAAAGTTGCTGTACTTTGAGGAATGACACTAGGTGCTTTTTGCAGGCGTGTAGCTAGTCTAGCTGGTCGGGGACGGGGGTTGTGCCTGGTGTGAGCACTCGGTGGCACCTGTTAATCTAAGGCACGGGCTCCCAGCACACGTGCTCCTTGGCAGCACTAAAGGACCATGCGTATCTTTTGTGCCTCCATAAGGGGGCATGTGCAAGTGGGGCTTTTGTAGCATTGCTTGTAGTACTGAGAGAGGAACAAGAAACAGAAGGGGTCGTCAGTAGGAAAATGACCACAGAAGGGCATTCATACTGGGAATAACATGAGTAGCTTATGCGTACAGTGGGAGACTGTAAAGCGGTGGGTAAAGTATGGCAGCATTTTTGTAAATAAGAGGCAAGACTCCAGAATAGTGTATTTCAGGGGCACATTTATATGTACACACATCAAAGTATATAATCTGTGTTGATGACTGGTTATTTCTTCTTTGGTTTTTTTTGAGACAGAGTCTAGTTGTGTAGTTTAGGCTAACCTTGAACTCACTGTATAGGCCAGGCTGCCTCGAACTAATGGCAGTCTTTCTGCCCCAGCCTCCCAAACGATGGGATTATAGGCATGCGCCAGCTTGTACTCTGGGACCTCTTTTAACTCACTCATGGAGGCAGAGAAAACCCGTGTGACCTCCCAGAGGTCTGCCACCTTGATGTGAGGAGTTCAACCTTTGGACTTGCTGGGGGGAGGGTGTGTGCACACGCAGACTCCAACACCAACTGTGAGAGAGGAATTTGAGGACAGCACTCAGTTCTACACTGGGGAGAGAAAAAGAGTGAAAGCATTATCAGGAAGTAAGATTTTAGTGCATGTGGGACACTTTGAACGTGCTAATTGACAAATCCTTATTTCTAGTGTAATGTGTGTGCAAGTAATTTATAATCTTAAAGTTAAAATAGTTTATAAGCTTTGGATGTGGGACTCTTGAAGGTATCTTTAACCATAAAAGTAATCATGAAGGGCGGGCCAAATAGCTCAGCGGATTAAAGTGTGTGCAAGCAGTCACAGGGGCGGGGTTTGATCCCCAGGTCTGCCTTGCCGGCCCCACTGCCAGGGCACACTGAGACAATTGAGACTGGGTGTGGTGGCACATGCCTGTAATCCCAGCCCTTGGGAGGCTGTAAACAGGAGGATCACTAGTCTGATCTAGTAGTGAGATCCTGAATACCCTATAGACTCTTCCCTAAAAATATTTTTAAAAAGTAATCTTGAGTAAATATTTTTTAACTCTAGGATTATACATATATTCTGGGTTTCACAAAGAGCGGTAATGT